GCTTCCTCAAAAAAAAAAAAAGCCTTTGGAAATTCACCTGTCCAGGTTTTACCTGCCTCAGAGTTACTCATTACTCCTCCCTCTCCTGGGACACTGGCAGCCTGGAGCTGGCCAGGCTGGTGGCAGGGGAGCACGTTGGGCACTGTCCCAGCCTCGCCCTTCCTGCTTGTGGCAGGGATGCCTTGTTTGTCTTTCATGCCTGTGTGATTTAAATCATCCCTTTGGCTCTTTTCCCTCGGAATCAACCTAAAGAGAAGTATCCCATGGCCACTGCTGCAGCATTGGAGGGGAGAGGCTGGTGCCACCTCCTTACAGCCTCCCCTGCCCCATGTCACCAGTGTGAACTAAGCCCTGCACAAACCACCCAGCCTTCCGCGGGTGGACTTCAAACCCTTGTCTTCTTGTCTCCAGGTTCATATTTACCATCAGAGACATCTACGGCTGACACTACCCTCACATGTCTGTATTGATACTGCTGCCAACGGGATGCTCTGGATCTGGAGTTCCCTGTTCTGGTTTGGCTGGTGGTGCTCTGGTAGAACCATCATCTCTCGGTCACCTGGGACATCCCAGGTAGACATCCCACCCCAGGAATCTGAGGTCTTTCACCATTTTGTTGCAGAGCTGGCTTGAGTCTAGCGTTGTCCTGGAGGCAGCAAGAGACCCACCTCCTGGAACATCACCCACAAGAGGCAGTAGGAGCCGGAGGGGTGTTCCCATAAGAAGCAGTGCAGTCCAGGGACCCCCAAAACCCCAGAAGAACTCAGGCAGGGGACAGCAATGATGCACAGCTGTCCTTATGCCCTGATCTTGGAGGACCTGGCACTAGGGAGGACAAACGGGGCTTGCAAGCATTTTCTACTAAGATTTGCCTTCTCCCACCGCACCCCTGAGCCACCCCCAGGACACCAAGTAAACATTTTCCTTCCCATGGGCTGAGGCACAGGTGCAGTGGGGTGGTAGGGCTGCAGCAAAGCAAACATGCATCTCTCCATCCTGACGCAGTGCCCGACAGGCACCGGTTCTGCCCGCGCTGCCTGTCAGTGGTAGGAAGAGAGGAAGGCACACAGCCTGGGGAAACACCTCTGCCCACCCTGCTCGGGCAGCCCACCCGCATCCTGGCGGCAGCAGCCCAGGAAGAGGCGAGAAGGTGGCTGACGGCAAGATGGGACCGTGCCCAGATCTATTCTGTGAGACACGAGGAAGGTGACAACGGCAGCGGCACTCCGGTTAGTCACTGCCGGGAAGCGTGCCATGCTGGAGGCTGCCGGCGTTTTCGGCCACCTGGTGTGCGTGGCCTTATTTTGATGATGTTTTCAAGATTTCTCCGAGGAGGGGTGCAGACAGGCAGTGAGAGCCAGTGGGAAACACAGAGTAAGGAACAGGAGGAAACTGCGTGGGCTTGCTGGAGACAGTCCCCAAGGTCCCCCGGCCACGGGACCAGGTTGTCCTTGTATGGACCAGGCTCCACATGGGGCTGTGTGACTCGGGAGGCACCTGCTGCAGATGCGAAAATCGGGTGCCTGTCACCTGCCAGGGGTGTGACTATCAAGGCGACATGTGTCCAGGAGGTTTGGACAAAGTGTCCCAAAGTTGGTGTGGATGTGAGGTTCACCAGCCCCTTTGCTGGCACGAGGCAGGGACCCCGCAGGGCTCGCCTATCTCGGTCCAAACGATGGCTGGAAACGAGGCAGGCGAGGACACTGCAGCAGGGACGCAGCAGATGCATTTCGTCACCCGGCCAAGGGGCATGTGTGTGTGTTGGGGGAAGGGGTGCCTGGGCGTGTAGGCGCATTTATTGCCTCTTCCCATCAGCACTGGCTTCCTGTGCACACACGGGCGGCAGAGACCCAAGGGCACAGCCCACGACTCGCTGGACTTTTACCCTGCTGTGCAAACAGGCAGGCGCCAGATTAGAGTATCAGTTGGAATTTTCATCCTGTCAACGGCACCCGCAGCCTCTCTGGGCGGGTGGCAGAGCATCTTCCCTCTGGCTCAGCCCTTCGCCCACCTACGGTCACCCCAATGCAGCAGGTGAATTTGGGAGATGCACATTTCATCCACCTGCATGCCCTTCGAGCTTCTTGCAGGTGATGGTGACGGCTGGGCATGGGCTGCCACCACCCTGCCTCCTGCCAGGGCAGGACCCCACAGGCCAGTCCTCGTGTGGCAATGACAGAACTGGATGTTAAAAGCAGATGAAGCCTTGTGAGGGAGGAGGATGCGCGTGGAGCAGTCAGCCCCAGTGTGGGGACCACGCTGGAATCTCCACGTGGAAATGCTCTCTATTTCCCCAGTCCAGTGCAGTTCTTTGGGCAAGTGGCCCATCTAGTCCTATCCCTTTTCCCATATGGCACCAATTCCATTCCCTTTGCCTCCTCCAGCCTGTTTTAGCTCCTGATGCTCCACGTATCCTTGCAGGGATGCAAGAAGACAGTGGTCCCATTTCGCAGACAGCTCAGGTACTGTGCCGGTGAGTGCAGGGTCACCAGGGTGCAGCAACGGGTGCAGCAGCAGGTGCAGCCTCTGTTGCAAGATCAGGAAAAAACCCTCTGCAATGCCACCTCGTCCTGCCTCTGCTCCTCCATCTCCTCCACCCACAAGGACTTTATCCTGCTTCAGGTGTCCCTCCGCAGCCACCTGCCCTGCCCGGACATCTTGGCATATGTGTCCCCACCTCTTGCCAGGCAACTCTTGGCGCGTTTGGGGACTGGAGGAGCCATTTTGGGCAGAGATTTGAGGGCAGCCACTTACTCAGAGCCCTGCAGGGTCAGAGGGATGTGGCTGGGATGGAGAGAGGAGAGTGTCGGGCACCGATGCCAGCTGTCCCAGGCATTATCTCACATCCTCGTTCCCTGTTTGCTCTTCTTGGACAAGGAGGATATAGAGCCCGTCAACAGCCATAAAACGAGATTAGAGGCCAGAAGGCGCCAATGGGAGGTGGCCATGTCTGTGGGCAGCTGGCCTTGTTCTTTGGCCTCTGCCAACCCAAACCCAGCCTCACCCTTTCCCCAGCTGCCCCAGAGGCTGCAAGTTTGCAGCCACCAGGTCACCCGGCACAGCCCCCTCCAAAGGGATGGGATGCAGCCGTGCCATGCCGTGGTGTGAGTTGTGCCATAGCCAGCAAAGCACCCCTGGGATGGGCACATCGTCTGGTACGAGGGCACAGCTGTGACATCCATCTGCACCCTTCACAGTGGGGCTGGGCAGGACTCCTCGCTCCCACTTCCAGCTGCATTTGAGGGCATCAGTGCTGGTGAGACCCTGGAGCCAGCATCCACTGACAGAACCACAGGCAGGGAGGAGACGGTGACAAACCCATGGGGCTCAGGCTTCCTGCTCGCTTTTATTTTCACTGATGCCTAAAACATGAAAAGGAAAACCGGTTTTGCCTTATATACACAAAAACTGAGCCAAAGTCCCGAGCCAATGCAAACATTTCACCCTCGCTGCCAAGCACAGCTGGCAGCAGTGGCCAAGGGAGGTGTCACCGGCCCCCGCGGGAGGGAGACCCAAATCCTTTGAGAGCTGGAGCGGAGCGATGGGTGCAATTGGATGGCAGGGACTCACTTTTAAAAGCCACAGCGTGCCTAGGCACCTTGTTTTCTGGGCCATGAGGGGCTGGGAGTGGTGCAAGGCTGGTAGCAGACAGGGCACCCAATGGTACAATGAGAAAACAGCATGGGGTGTGATGTGAGGGGCACAAGTCTGCTGCTTCACCTTTCTGGAACTTAGAGAGACAACGCCGGGAAAGGCGATGCAAGACTCATGCTCCCTTGTCCCTACCTTGGTCTTGGGAAGCTGCAGCCCAGGAGCTGCACACCCTCGTGTGTCCCAGCCATGACCCACTGGCATCTGGCACAGCAGAAACCTGGGACAATACAGCGGTCAGGACTTGGCAGGGTGAAGGGACAGTTCAGCTGCAGTTCATGAGCAGAAGAAGAGGGGTATCAGTTACTGGCCTGGGGCACAGAGAGGGCAAGAGGTGGTGCAGTGCATGGAGGAGAGGGAAGACAGGGAAAACAAAACCTGGAGTCTTTTGAGTTTTGAAGAAAACAGGGAACCCCCACTTCTCTGTCTTTCTGGAAACCACCTCTGCATCACCTAACACCAGGGCATGTACCAGTCCTTTCTCTGCCCAGGACAGCCCCTGTCTGCCCCAGCAGCAGCTCCCAGTGCCCACAGCAGCTGCCCTCCCTTGGAGCATCACTCCAAAGCTCTCCTTGGTATTGTCTCTTCTGGACAGCCTGAGACTGGTTCTTGCACCCTGTCCTGATGGCAAACCTTCTTGTTCTCCTCCCCTTCCCCATGGGAAGGTGGTCCTAGGGCTCAGCAGGCTGGTTGGCCTCCAGTGTGCCTTCTCTCCATTCCCTCTGCTCCAGGTGGAGACAGCTGCAGTGCTGTCGTGCCGCGCCATGGTTTGATGGAGTCTCCTCGAGGGACTTATGTCTGAGGGTCCTGCTGGGCTCTCATAGTCCACTTCACTCTGCCTTCAGCACCCTCATCCTGGCACAGAAGATCCAGGAGACCAGCTCAGCAGACATTTGTTTGGCCTTGAGCCCAGCCAAGTATTTTTTCTAGTTCAGTCTTGTTCGAACTGCCCCAAAAACATCCAACAGCTGGATTGCCAAGAGGACCAGAGGAAGCATCCTACCAGCTCCACATGAAACACCACAGGAAAGCCATCCTCCACCCCTGCCCCGCTTCCTTCTGCTGACATTAGGATCCTGCTTTGGGCTACAGATACTAGAGACCAGATCGGTGCATGTTTCCTACAGGAGAGCAATACTACCTAACTTACAGATTTCACGTAGGAGAGAGCCCACCAGCCCCTTGGGAAGGTCCTGGTGCCACCTCGCCCAGCCTTGCTCGTCATCCCGTTGGTTCAGCCGGGGACCATCGTGTCTTTAGGAAGGGTCTGTCACTCTTCAGAGCACACGGACCGGCTGGGCTCTGCCACATAGTGCTTATCTCTTGGTGTCTGCAGCTGGTGAAGGGCGTTAAGGCATGAACTCCTCCTTGATTGTCAGTGGAGATGAGGAGACGAGGTTCGGGGCACTGCTGCTGCAGAGGCCTCCGATGGGTCCCAGCGTGCCGACAGCCGGCGGGGTCGGCGTGGTGGTGCTGGTGGGCTGGCTTTGCTGCTGCATCTTCTTTTTGTTCACCTTTCTCTCCTTCGCCCTCCGGTTTTGAAACCAGATTTTAACCTTCAGAAAAAGACAGCGATGCAAAGATGGTGATGGATGCAGCCAAGGATGACAGCCCTGGGGCAGGGAGATCTGTGGAGCAAGGCGGCACCACTGACCCCTCCTTGGGCTGCAGCCCTTCCCCTACCCAGCCCCATCTCCGCCCAGCACGTGGTTTTCCCAGGGCCCTGCAGCACTGACCTGCCGTTCCGTGAGCCCAAGGGCAGCGGCCAGCTCAGTCTTGCGGCGGATGGTGATATAGCGGCTGTAGTGAAACTCCTTCTCCAGCTCCAGGCGTTGGTGGTCCGTGTACACCACCCGGTACTTGTCTTTCGTCCTGGTCTTGCCTGGCAAAGAGAGCAGAGAGGGAATGAGCCAAGAGGAGGAGATGAAGGGGAGCACTGGAGTGGTAGGAATATCCCCAGGTGCACAGAGGAGATACAAAACCACCTGTAGAGAACGCCCTGGGAATCAGTGGAAAAGAGAGTTGTGTGGTTCCTCTTGTATTTAATACCCATCCTGGGTGTTTCTCCATGTTAGAAAGTACTTGGGCTTTGGGGAAATTGCCTGGTGGAAAGAGCAGGAGGGTTTCAGAGGCATCTCAAGAAGATGGACCGTAAATCCCATGTGTCATGACCCATTGTCCCCAAGAGGAGCAGAGCTGCAAGACCTGTGGTGAACTGAGGACAAGCTGCCTGCAGAAATTCAGCCTGGGAAGGCTGAGGGAAGTCCGATCCTTTACCAGGTAGGCCAAGCTCAAGATGCCATCACTTGAAGGCACGCAGATCAGGACAGGGGAAAGATGGAAAATCCAGAGATAACAGCATTTATCTGCCACAAGGAGGGTTATTTTTCTTCTCCCTGTACCAAGCCAAGATGGATGGCAGTGCTTATTCACTTGATACAGTCTTTAAAGATGCACTGGGGAAAGCCCACAGGATGCCCAAGCACTCCAGGTATGGACAGAGCTCAGGGCCATGGAGCCCCACGTCTCTGTGCACACAGAAGTATGACCCATGGGTCTGCAGTTGGCACTTACTGCTTTCTGCAAGAAAGAATACAGCCAAAAACAGCCCAGCCACCTTCTCTGTTAGCTTCTTCATTAATACACACACACACACACATGGTGAGCTGTGGCGCAGGAGCCAACACTTTGTGCTCTGCCTGGGCTGGGGGCTGCAGGGGGTGGTGTTTGAGGAAGGACACCCATGCCCGGCAGTTTGCTGACAAGTCCCTGGTGCTTTCCTCTGCAGAAGAGCCCACAGGCAGGGAATAAACACAGCTGTGAGCATTTGCTTCTCCACCCAAAATAACAAAATCCTGTTCCAGGGCATCAACAGGGACAGAGCCACACTTTCAGATGAGCAGCCGCTGTCGTTCTAACTGGAACCCATCCATCTGGCTGCCTGGTAGACATGTTTGCCCAGCTTCTCCTGAATTTCTGCTGCTGAGAGCACTGCTGCCATGGGAAGGAGCAGGAGAAGCCCAGAACAGCTCTGTGGGTTTCCCCAAGGCTGCCTTGGGTGTATGAGCATGGATAGGAGACTGCTCTTCACTGCCACGGATGCACAGGGAGGGATTTCTAGTGATCCAGCAACCTGCATAACCCTGCTTGCAGCCTGCTTTTCCCGGGAGAGGGGATCTTTTTGCACCTGTCATCCCTTCCATCCATTCTCTCTAATAAGTCCTTGGCACATCATCCACTTTGGGCCAGATTGGATGGACACTGAAAAATCTCAACAATATTATTGAATTCTGACCATCCTAGTGGAAGCAGGAGTTTGGATGGTGCAAAGTAAAATTGTGCTTCAGAGACTCCAGAGCAGACTTGATCCTCATCAGACATCAGAGAACCTCCACAGAGCAAAACCCTGAACCCCAGGCTCATAGCCAACTTACTTTTATTTTTAAGGATATTAAGAGCCAATAAAAGTCTAGCTCCTGCTGCTGGCCACTGAGCAAACCGTGTATGACAAGTGCATGAGTCTGTGTGCACCCTGGGTCACACCTGGGAGCTGGGATGGGCACCAGAGGCCCTTTCCCTGCTGAGACTTGACCCCAGTTCTCCCAGACACAAAAAGCAGCCCCGTGATGCAAGTTAGCCCCTGATTTCCATGACTATGTCACTCTCTGAGTCCTCCTGCTGTTGCTCCTGGAGGTGTTGGCGTAAGTGGGTTGATGCCAAGCGTCCCAGCGTGGTCCCCAAGAAGCACAGAAGTTCTCCAGCAACCCATGGGGGAGGTAGGAGCACAGCAAGGCTGCAACACAGCCAGAAATAGAAACTAGAGCTCCCAGCACCAAGGCTAGGCTTTAGCCATTGACCCATGTTTGAGGGATGTGATGGATTCACTCACTGCTCTAGAGAGCAGCTCACCCTGGAATTGTGTGGAAGCGAACACCTAATCCCTCACCATCATCGAGAGCAAACCTGCCTCTGGCCATACGGGAGGATTCTGCAAGTCAAAACAGGGTAAAAAAGGTAATTTGATTGAGCAAGATGTGTATGGAGATGTCTGCTGACATGTGGCTGCAGCAATTTAACATGCGAGGGGTCCTCGGCAGCACTGCTGAGTGTTTGTCACCTTTTCAGCACACGCAGGCTGTGTGGCGGTGACACAGGCAGTGCCAGGCTGGAGCGATGCCACGGGATCCCTCGTTCTCCCGCAGGACCCCTCTCCTTCCCGAGGGGCTGCTGCAGCCTCTCACCAGCCCGCAGGTGAAGGGTTCTTCCACGTGAGAAGGGTTTCTGCATCTCAGCCTGGGGGGACCTGTGCTGAATTTGCAAACACAGCGATTCCTGGGGAGTTACAGAATAAACCAGATGTACCGGCAGAGATTTGTGTGAGGCTTAGCAGCTCTGTGAGAAACCAGCCTCCCTCTGCCTGCTCCAGGCTCAGGGACTCCTACGAGATTTTTTTCCTTTCCCATATAAATTGATGGGGTTTTTTTTTTCCTTTCATTTGAAAGCAAAGACCTTTCTGAAGAGATGACTTAAAAATGATCTTATTTGCTGTACTGCTGTTTGGAAACCGCTGCTTGGAGAAAAAAAACCAACAGCTGGAAAGCAAAAGAATTGACGGATAAAGTAAAAAAATAAATAAGTAAAGGAATGAAGAAATAAGGCGGTTTGTGAATACCACATACACCATGAATGTCAGCAGGGATCATTATTTG